GCCCCGAGACCCCGGGGGCTGAGGCGGGAGGCCGAGGGGCGGGGGCTTGGAGGAGGCCCCGGGGCGCGGACGTCGGCTGCGGGGGAAACGGCGGCGGGGAGGGAGGTACGCGGGCTCGATGGGGAAGATGCGTCCAGCTTGCTTCTCTCAACCGTTTACTAAATGCTGAGTATTCTTGCGTGTGATCTGTAAACACCCATAGGCTGTGGTTTAACTTTTGTTTAAAATATCACCCTTTAAATGCCCCCATCCCCCTTAAACTTAGGGGCGCTACATGCGCATTTCTTCTCGTGCGGGGGTCTCCCCTTGTTACAGTCAAGCAGACTGAGAAATTCGTTTGGCATTCTTTATACCGCACGCTCTTCGTTTTTCAGCCCAGCCTCCATCTTGACCGTCCCTCCGTAGTCAAGTGATTTTTCTTAAACCCGGCTTTTTCGTCCTCTGGACATTAAGATCGTGCTCTTAAAATGCTGAACTATTTACTGTACACTCTAACGCACGCAGCATTCTCCACTTGTCAGAAGTCGAAGCAGCGGCCTGCTCGTTGTGTCTACAGTTTTTAAATTCTAAACTTGCCTTTGGAAAATCTGTGGTTATCTTGAGGAGGCTGTATTTTCTTTTCATGTTGGAGATCTTGACGCGGAGATACAAGAACTCTCCAACTTCCAGCTCCTTCTCCGTGAATCATCCTAGCATTTCATCCTAGTTTAGTTCAACAGATATTAATACAACACGGCAAGAACTATGCTCAGTGTTTGGGGCGACAAAGGTGAAAAGAAAGAACAGGCATCAGGGATCTTACACCATTTTGATGGAGTTGTTTTCTCCTCAGCCAATTTGTATTTCTGCTGAAGAATAGAATAGAATAGAATATGCACATCGGTAACATCTCATGCCCTAGTGCAGACCTTCGTCAAATTCTCATGAAACAAATCACAGTGTGGAATCTAATGTCAGACTGTCCCCCATGGGAGAATTTCAAGGAACTTGGATTATTAAAATATTTTTATAACGTTAAGCTTTTAAATGCATATCCTCCAGTGATCACTCATATGCTGACAACAAATCACTCACATATTTGACAATAAATTTATTGGTCATAAGACAGCAAGGAGATGTTTATATTCTGGATATTTTTCTGGAACCTTACTAAAGAAATCACAGAGGACTAAAGTAACTGATTACTCCAGTATAAGTAACTTTATCTCCTTTCCCCATCGTTGCTGTTATCATTTAGAATATTTCTCTGAGGAGAGTGAAAAAGCAAAAGCAAAATAATGCAGTTGTGATAGTGTTAGCTGCTAATGGCTAATAGTTAATGTTAACTGCTTTATCAAAAACTTAAAGGTGCCAAAGGGCAACTTTGAGAAAGCAACAATTTGAGAAATTAGGCCAAGGACCACAAGGCAGAAAAGGAAGTGGAGTAAAATAAGAGGGAAACAAATGATCAAAATCCTCACATGAGATTTTAGTCATAATATTATGACCTGATATTTCAGTAGTAGTATAGTGTCCATCTGCCAATTTAGCAGTCCAGGCTTATATTGGAGAGACAAGGAATTCTGTTAGAATTGAGTTCTTAAATACATTATTACTCATAATAGCTAATATTTATTAAGTTTTTACTGTGTGATAGGCTCTATGCTAAATTCATTAAATAGATTATTGTATTTATCCTTACAACAGCCCTTTGACACATACGCTGTTATTAATCTACCACTACAAATATGGAGGCTGAGTCTGTAAGAAAGCTTAGTCCCATGTCTAGGGTCAGACAGCTAGGATTTTAACCCCGATAAAATCATACTCCTCACTGTTTTATATGTCATGTTTGGCATAGCTATCTTGACATATCTATGTTACATGCTTGCGTAACTTCTTCCTAGGCTGCCAAAAATGGGTTATAGATAAGTCAAGATTGCCATGTTCATTTTGTGGCTACAGGCTCCCAAGACGAGGTTTCTGTTGCCTCTTGCCTTGAGCACCTGAATCCAGTCAGCACAGTGTGCTTTCTTGTTTTGTTTTGTTTTGTTTTGTTTTTTGAGTCGGTGTCTCACTCTGTCGCCCAGGCTGGAGTGCAGTAGCATGCTCCCAACCACTGCAGCTTCAACCTGCTGGGCTCCGGTAATCCTTCTGCCTCAGACTTCCAAGTAGCTGGAACTACAGGCGCATGCTACCATGCCTGGCTAATTTTTTATTTATTGTAGAGACGAGGTCTCGCCAAGTTGCCCAGGTGGGTCTCGAACCCGTGGGCTCAGGCAGGTTGCCTCGGCCTCCCAAAGTGCTGGAATTATAGGCTGAGCCACTGAATCCAGCCGAGCACAGTGTGCTGTGTAAATATTTTTTTCTGTATCTTTGATTGGAAAAGGTTGAGGGGAACCACTGTGTTCCATACATAATACTGCAGTTCTAGTCTTGTGAGTAATTCGTGTACATATCCAGTTTTTTAAAATTAATACTTTTTTGTAATGACGTAGGGTATAAAATATAGTGTTTCTTTCATTTCTTCATTAATAGTACCGTTGGAAACAACTGCTAACATAAAAGGATTATTTTCCAGTTTTAGATTCTTACTTGAAGGAAGTTATTTTGACGACCCAGCTTTTTTTCTTTATAGTTTCTTGCAGAACATAAATTATTAGGAAACATTAAAAATGTGGCCAAGACTGCCAACAAGGACCATTTGGTTGCAGCATATAACCATCTTTTTGAGACTAAGGTGAGTACTGTTGCATTCTATTAGCAAAATACTAGCAGAAGATCATTTTAGAAATGTTATTTCCAAAAGATGTTTTAAATGCATTTATTTGCATAATATGTTGGAGAGTTTCTACCTGCAGTTTTTCTTAACTATAAACAATAAGTGGACTGTCAAATCTAGCAAAGCTAATCTCCAGGATTATGGCAGAATGTATTGGTATTTTGAAAGAAACCAGATTTTTTAGATAAATTGAAATGACAAATACTTAAGGCTACTGAAGTTATAAATCCATTAGCTCAATTGGTATTACTTTATTACTTAAGCATTTACTCTGCATATTAAATGTCATACAGAAAAGGTAAGTTCGATTTTATTAATGAACTTAAAGTCTGATTTAGATTTAGGCTAACCCTTTAAAAAATTAGCCAGGCGTGGTAGCGCACGCCTGTAGTTCCAGCTACTTGGAAAGCTGAGGTGGAAGGATTGTCAGAGCCCAGCAGATCAAAGCTGGGAGCGGCCACTGCATTCCAGTCTGGGCGGCAGAGTGAGACTCCAACTCAAAAAAAAAAGAGAAATTTTAAGAAATTCTCCAGGCCAAGTGCAGTGGCTCAAGTCTGTAATCCCAGCACTTTGGGAGGCCAAGACGAGAGTATTGCCTGAGACCAGGGATTCAAGACCAGCCTGGGCAACTTGACAAGACCTTGTCACTACAATAAATCAAAAAATTAGCCAGGCATAGTGGCGTGTTCCTGTAGTTCCAGCTACTTGGAAGGCTGAAGCAGAAGGATCGCCTGAGCCTAGCAGGTCAAGACTACAGTGGCCATGAGTGTGCCACTGCACTCCAGCCTGGATGACAGAGTGAGACTCCAACTCAAAAAAAAAAAACATCCAACATTTGTTCTTTATGAAGTAAACATTTTCCACAGAAAAGAATCTTTATTAAGGAATTCTTTTAATATTATTCATATCTCTGGATCTGAGTTGCCTTTCTAAAGGTCATGGTTCTCATTTCAGAATTTATATTGTGAGCTAGTCTGAGTCGTAATTTATTGATTAAAACACTGATTCTTCCTTTGTTCTTTGTTGGTTTACTTAGACCACTTTTTTATTTTTTTATTTTTTGAATTGGAGTCTCACTCTATTGCCTAGGTTGGAGGGCAGTGGCATGCTCACGGCCACTGCAGCCTCGGCCTGCTGGGCTCAGGCAATCCTTCCACCTCAGACTTCCAAGTAGCTGGAACTACAGGCATGTGCCACCACACCCGGCTAATTTTTTGATTTGATGTAGAGATGAGGTCTTACCAAGTTGCCCAGGCTGGTCTAGAACCTGTGAGCTCAGGCAATCCTCTCACCTCTGCCTCCCAAAGTGCTGGGATTATAGGCGTGAGCCACTGCACCTGGCCTACTTAGACCACTTATTTATCATTGAGTTACATAACCTATTTTATATCGTGTAGATGTCCATTTATCAAAAGGCTGAAAATCTAGTTATCCCTCCTAGGTTTTAGCTTGTCCTGAATCTGATGTTAGAATTTTTTCCTTACAGCGTTTCAAGGGTACCGAAAGCATAAGTAAAGTGTCTGAGCAAGTGAAAAATGTGAAGCTTAGTGAAGATAAACCCAAAGAAACCAAATCTGAAGAGACTCTGGATGAGGTTGGTATTAATATTTTCATTTATTTTATTACTCAGGTGAATTTTAGAAATAGTATTTGGTTTATATAGCATTAATTTCTCATAGTTAGGAGTGGTTGAGTATGACCACGCGCATTGAGCCAAACGCTGATTTTAGAGTGTGCCATTTCCCTAAGGTATACTGGTACAGAAATAAGCCTACAGATTAGTGCTTTATAGTTAATGGCTTATCCCGTGAAATACTTCTGACTTTGTATTAAATAGTGCCTCCACATCTGGTCAGACCTCCAAGCTTCTAAGCTATTTTAAGGTCCTGATTCTGTAGCCAAGTTGGACCAAGTGAAAGAAACTTCCTTTTGATTATTTTTAGATTTTTCTAATGTACATGGTGTCCCTGGCAATAGAAATTATCCAGGCCTGGCTGCAGGGTTCATCTGTCTCAGCTTTTCAAACTCAGGTTTCATATTTTGGAACAAAGTTTTAAAGAACCAGATAAAATCATTTCTGCAAATCAACAGCCTTAGTAGAGCTAAGGAAAGCTACTAAGAATGGCCTTAGCAGAACTGAATTGACTATAGTCTTGCCATTTCTGATAATACCTCGCCAACTAAGCATACTCATTGCTAGCAGTCTTAGTACCAGTGATAACAATTATCTGCTTTTAGACTTTGGGAAGCTGAGGTGGGAGGATCACTTGAGCCCAGGAGTTCAAGACCAGCCTAGGCAGCATAGTGAGACCTCATCTCTATAAAATAAAAAATAAATTAGCCAGGTGTGGTGGTACGCATTTATAGTCCCAGGTGCTCGGTAGGCTGAGGTGGCTGGATCTCCTGAGCCCAGGAAGTCAAGGCTGTGGTGAGCCATGTTTGTGCCACTGCACCCCAGTATAGGTGACAATGAGACCCCAACTCAAAAAAATAAATTAAAAAATAAATCTATCTTTAGTTCTTGTAAAGACATATATAGCCTATTGACAAAGGTATAACATTTGGATATTTGTGAAAAGCATATAAGTTTGGCATAGAGGTACAAACGTTTATATGATTAATGCTAGCTAATACTACACAATCTTCTCCTCTTGGTTGAAAAGCACAAATTGGTGTTTGTGCATATGTACACACACAAACCAGTTTTGTAGATTATTACAACTAATATTGATCAATATTATGTCTGGAGCAGCTACTGAGGTAAATAAAGCGATGATACTAAAGTGTTTCATCAGCAATTCCAACACAAGGGTGGTACGAGGCAGGTAGTATGTCAGTAAAGAGTTTAAAAAAGAGTTATAAATAAATTAAAAGGCAAGTTCAGCTGGGCTCGGTGGCTCAGCCTGTAATCCTGTGCCTTGGGAGGCTGAGGTGAGTGGATTGCCTGAGCCCGTGGGTTCGAGACCCGCCTGGGCAACTTGGTGAGACCACATCTCTACAATACATTAAAAAATTAAAAAATTAGCTGGGTGTGGTAGTGCGCGCCTGTAGTTCCAGCTACTCGGAAGGCTGAGGTGGAAGGATCGCTGGAGCCCAGCAGGTCGAGGCTGCGGTGGCCGGGAGCGGCCACGGCACTCCAGTCTGGGCGATAGAGTGAGATTCCAACTCAAAAAAAAAAAAAAAAAAAGGCAAGTTCATAAGGGGTAGAGACAATCTAGAGAAATCTTATGAGGGTCCTAAACAATATCATTTAATCAAAGATCTCTTTTCATTTAACTGGCCAGCTTGAGCCCACTTACGTACTTTGTCTTCTTAATACCCTAGATTCCATAGCCTCTTGTCCAATCCCTTTTTGTCTTAGTCTCTTTTCTTTTTTTTTGAGTTAGATCTTACTTTTGTCACCCAGGCTGGAGGAGTGCAGTGGCACGCTCATGGCCCCCTTGACCTGCTGGGCTCTGGCGATCCTTCCGCCTCAACCTTCCAAGTAGCTGGAACTACAGATGCACGCCACCACACCTAGCTAGTTTTGTGTGTGTGTGTGGTTTATTGTAGAGATAAGGTCTCACCAAGTTGCCCAGGCTGGTCTCGAACGCCCGGATTCAGGCAATCCTCTCTTCTCAGCCTCCCAAAGTGCTGGGATTACAGGCCCCCGTGCCCGACCCTTACTCTCTTTTCATGCTTTGGGACTGGAGAACAAGTATTGTAAAGAAACACATAATCATAAAATTCTTTACTGGGCCTGTAATAGATTCATGCTTAACGTCAACCAAGCCTGTTTTCTAATTTCGCTGCTGCTCATTATCCCTCACCCAATTCCCCAATACACTGCTCACCTACACCACTTGACATTTTCTCACAAAATTCTCAGTTCCTTCTTACTCCCTTCTCATCATATACTCCTCTGTTCTATTTTACTAGAATATGAATATCTATCTAGTACTATTCCCTTCCTCCCAGCTTGGAAGGTTTTTCTGAATCTTGGGCTCTCTTTTGCTTTCTCATGTCTCTTTCAGGTTGAATGCTCTCAAACACCTCTTGTCTTTTTCAAATCTTCATTCCTTTTCCATTTTCAAGCATTTCACGCAAAGTTTCAGACCTGGAATGTTGGAAAAGTTGCTCATTTCCTGCCTCCATTCTCTTTCTTCATGCTTTCAGTCCAAAAGTGGCTATTCTAGTAAACTTTCTAAAACTATACTTTGCAAACTACACCCTGGTACTGAAGACAAAAATCTTTAGTAATTCTGTGTTGTCTAGAACGGCAGTGTTCAGTATGGTAGTCACTAGCTATATGTGGCTATTGAGTACTTTGGCTAGTTCAGATTGAAATGTCCTGTAAGTGTAAAGTACACTCTCAATTTCTTTTCTTTTCTTTTGTTAATTTGAGTTGGAGTCTCACTCTGTCACCCAGGCTGGAGTGCAGTGGCATGCTCATGGCCACCCCAGCATCGACCTCCTGGGCCCCAGCGATCCTTCTGCCTCAGCCTTCCAAGTAGCCGGAACTACAGGCGTGCGCTACCACACCCGACTAATTTTTTATTTATTTTAGAGACGAGGTCCCTCGCCAAGTTGCCTGGGCTGGTCTCAAACCTGCAGACTCAGGCAATCTACTCTCCTCGGCCTCCCAAAGTGCTGGGATTACAGACTGAGCCACCAAGCCCAGCCCACTCTCAATTTCAGTGGTGTGATTAAAAAGATTTTTTGTTATTGTTATTGTTTTGTATTTCAATTAAGAAAGGTAGATTTATTAAAGAAGATAACATTGCGAAGGGCACATTGGACAGGACAGCACAAGAGTGTCTGCTGCCAAAAGATTTTTTTAAATGTAAGATATCGCCAGGTACAGTGGCTTATGCCTGTAATCCCAGCACTTTGGGAGGCAGAGGTGAGAAGATTGCCTGAATCCAGGAGTTTGAGATCAGCTTGGGCAACTTGATGAGACCTCATTTCTACAATAAATAAATTAAAAATTAGCCGGGCATGGCGGCATGCGCATGTGGTTCCAGCTACTTGGAAGGCTGAGACAAAAGGGTCACTTGAGTCCAGCAGGTTGAGGCTGTGATGGCCATGAGCATGCCATTGCACTCCAGCATGGGCAACAGAGTTAGACTCCAACTAAACAAAAAGTAAGATATTTTAGTATTTTTTATATTGATTACATGTTTAAATGATTTTATATATATATTGGTTTAAATAAGACATATGATTCATTTTTAAAATTTTTATTTGTTTCTCTTTTTAAGAGGCGGGGTCTTGCTACATTGCCCAGGCTAAAACTCCTGGTCTCTAGTGATCCTTCTGCTTTAGCATCCTCAGTAACTGCGACTACAGGCTCACACTGCTGCATTTGGTATAGGTATATTAATCAAGTTAATGTCACTTGTTCCTTTTTATATTTTTTTAATGTGACTACTAGACAGCTTAAAATTACATTTGTGACTCTCGTTATATTTTAATTGGACATCACTGGTCTATAACATATATCTAAACATCTTATTCTTGGCATTCAAAGCCTTCCAAAATCAGATCCCCTCCAAACTGTGTATTTTATATTTTTTTTTATTTTTTTTTTTTTTTGAGTTGAAGTCTCACTCTGTCGCCCAGACTGGAGTGCAGTGGCCGCTCCCGGCCACCGCAGCCTCGACCTGCTGGGCTCCGGTGATCCTTCCGCCTCAGCCTTCCGAGTAGCCGGAATTACAGGCATGCGCTACCACGCCCGGCTGATTTTTTGATTTATTGTAGAGATGAGGTCTCGCTGCCCAGGCGGGTCTCGAACCCGCGGACTCATGCAATTCACTCACCTCAGCCTCCCAAAGGCGCGGGATTACAGGCTGAGCCACCGAGCCCGGCTCTTTTTATATTTTTTTAATGTGACTACTAGACAGCTTAAAATTACATTTGTGACTCTCGTTATATTTTAATTGGACATCACTGGTCTATAACATATATCTAAACATCTTATTCTTGGCATTCAAAGCCTTCCAAAATCAGATCCCCTCCAAACTGTGTATTTTTTAATTTTTTTAATTTTTTCATATTTTGAGTTGAAGTCTCACTCTGTCACCCAGACTGGAGTGCAGCGGCCGCTCCCGGCCACCGCAGCCTCGACTGCTGGGCTCCAGCGATCCTTCCGCCTCAGCCTTCTGAGTAGCTGGAACTACAGGCACATGCTACCACCCTGGCTAATTTTTTGATTTATTGTAGAGATGAGGTCTCACCAAGTTGCCCAGGCGGGTCTCGCACCCGCAGGCTCAGGCAATCCACTCACCTCAGCCTCCCAAAGCGCGGGATTACAGGCTGAGCCACCAAGCCCGGCTTACATTTTTTTATAAACCATTTATTTTCTGATTATATTTTTATTTATTATTATTATTATTTTTAGTCAGACTCTCACTCTGTCACCCAGGCTGGAGTGCAGTAACACGCTAACAGTCACTGCAGCATCGATCTGCTGGGTTCAGGTGATCCTCCCTCCTCAGCCTTCCAAGTAACTGGAACTACAGGTGTGTGCTACCACACCCAGCTAGTTTTTTGATTTATTGTAGAGACAAAGTCTCACCAAGTTTCCCAGGCTCATCTCAAACCCCTGGACTCAAGTAGTCCTCTCGCCTCGACCTCCCAAAGTGCTGGGATTACAGGTGTGAACCACCACATCCGGCCTTGATTATATTTTTAAAGTAGAAAATAACACAAAAGGATAGAGACTACATAATATAATCCAGGTACCTAGAAATGAATGTGTTTAATATTTTGTAATGTTTCCTTGACTATTTTCTCTGCATATATTGATTTAAATGTTTGCAATTTTACTATGGCTAAAACTATTGATTTTTCACTTAATGTTACAAGAATTTTTCCACATCAGTAAAAAGTATTCCATTATCATAAATGTGTGGTTATTTTGCCATTCTAGATAATTGTGTATTTAATAACTGCATAAAGATATCTTTCCTAAAGTTTAAATTACTTCTCAAGCATATATTTATACAAGTAGAATTATTACTTGCATTTTAATATGTTTAAGTTGCATTTCAAAGAGATGTCTCCAGTTTATGCTGTTACCAGTAGACACATGACCATTTCTAAGTGGCGTTACTAGCTAAAATAAGCTTAGAATTGGAGTGTCAGGGAAGAAGTTAGTGCTTAGTTATTTCTGTAATATACATTGTACTCATACTGTAGGTGTAGCCTTCTTTTGATTTAGGGAGTCAGCCTTATTTTAGTTCAATATAAATCTTTCAAATCTGGGTTGGATAGGGCTTTATGCACTGTGTTCTGTGTGCACCACCTCTACTGAGAGCGTAGTGGAAGAAACGAGTTTGAGGGGGAATAAACTTGAGAGAGGGCTAGAGATTAAGATCCTGCATGGATTAGGCCTTTGGGCACAAAACTGTAAGCAGTAATTATTAATATCACTCTAGCAGTTGAGTGGAAGACTGACAACTGGACTGGGATCGCAGGCTTGAGCCACCATGCTCGGCCTTTGCTACTTATTTTACGAAATTTAGAAACCAAATACAGATTTGGATAATGCAGATCCCTCCTTGAATTCAGAAACCAAATAGATTGAGCCAAAGAGGATACTTTTACATTTGCCCCAATTCTTTTTTTAACCCCCTAAGATTCTTAACAGATCTTCTCTATGCTTGCCTCTCATGTATGACCTCTTACTGATTATTCTGTTAGCCTTTCTTTTTTTTTAAGACCCTGCTTTGTTCTAGGAAATATGCCTATTATGGCAATTTCTTTTTTATTATTTTTATTTTTTGAGTTGGAGTCTCACTCTGTTGCCCAAACTAGAGTGCAGCAACATGCTCATGGCTACTGCAGCCTTGTGCTGGGCTCAGGTAATCCTTCCACCTCAGCCTTCCAAGTAGGTGGAACTATAGACGTGTGACACCACACCCGCGTAATTTTTTGATTTGTTGTAGAGATGAGGTCTTGCCAAGTTGTCCAGGCTGGTCTTGGAACCTTGGGCTCAGGCATTCCTCTCACCTTGGCCTCCCAAAGTGCTGGAATTACAGGCATGAGCCACTGCACCTGGCCTGTTTTTATTTTTTTATTTTCCTTTTTTAAAAAAATTATAAATAGAGATGGGGTCTTCCTATGTTTCCCAGGCTGGTGGTCTCAAAATCCTGGGTCAAGCTATCCTCCTGCCTTGGCCTCCCAAAGAGCTGGGATTACAGGCATGAGCTGACACACTCAGCCCAATAGTAATTCCTGTGGGTATTTCATTCATTGTGGGAACTTATTTTTCAGTTCAGGGATAGAGGCAACATCACTGTATTCATTCTAATTGGATATAAATAAAGCATCTAGTAATACTAGTTATTGCTGCTGAACAATTCACATTTTTGGGGAAAAAATCAGTATTTTATTTAATGCCTTGTGATTTTATAGGAATTAAATAGTAGTGATTATTCTAACCTTAGGAAATAATTGAATTCATTTTATGATTTGCTGAATAATAGAATCTTAAAATAATTTTTGGTTTCTAAAGAAGCTGGAAGCTATTTGAAATTCAATTATAGACGTGCAAGTTGCTAATAACCATGACAGCCCCAGATAGAGAGTTTTTTGGTGTGTTTGTTTGTTTAACTCATAGAGGTGGACAAGAGGCAAAATAGTTGATTACCAAATCTATCAAATGCTGTGATCTGACTTTGGTCATTATTGGCTATATATTCTCTTTGTCATCCTTTTTTTTTTCTTTCTGTAATGGGCCAGATAGTATCGTCATCTCCTAAAGGACATGAATTAATAATTTTGTGTGTGTTGTTTTTTGTTTTTAGGGGCCACCAAAATATACAAAATCTGTTCTCAAAAAGGGAGATAAAACTAACTTTCCCAAAAAGGGCGATGTTGTTCACTGCTGGTATACAGGAACATTACAGGATGGGACTGTTTTTGATACTAATATTCAAACGAGTAAGTGTAAATATAATCTTTTATTTTTGGCTTAAGGATGTTGCAAAATATATTTGTGTGGCAGACAGATGAGCAGTTGACAGTACTTTTGACTTTCACCTAGTTTTTTTCCAGATGTCTTTTACATCTCTGATTTTTTGGAGAGATCTTCAGTTTACTGATTATTGGCTGGCTAAAGACCTTTTGTTTATCAGAAAGCAAAAAGTAAGGACGCTTAATCTAAACTTGGTTTATTTCCTAAAGTGAAGCTTTAGTATTTTAATAGAAAAGCCAGACTAGTTTGCTCTTTGTTCTTTTTTTTTTCCGAGACATGGTTTCAGCTCACTCACCTAGGCTGGAGAGCAGTGGTGCTATCCATTTGAACTCCTGGACTCAAGCAATCATCCCACCTCAGTTTCCCAAGTGGTTGGGACTACTTGCATACACTGCCATGCCTGGCTAGTATTTTTATTTTTTTGAGAGATAGGGTCTGTGTTGCCCAGGCTAATCTCAAACTCTTGGCAAGCAATCCTTCTGGAATTTTCTTGATGAATTTCAAATACATAGTTTTGTTGTTATGAAATCAATTAATCCACCCTATTTTTCCATTGGAACTTAATTTTTTTAAAAAATAAGAGTATCATTAATTATAAGGAAAAATCTGTTTATCTGTTTTACAGGTTCAAAGAAGAAGAAAAATGCCAAGCCTTTAAGTTTTAAGGTTGGAGTAGGCAAAGTTATCAGAGGCGTAAGTAAAGAATGGAATGAATCAATAGAAATTCTGGCACATCCTGTGTCTGGTTTGGTGCTGTCAACAGTTAGGACTGGGAATATAATGAAAAGAAAACAATCTTTGGAGCCTGACAGATGGGGTGCTACTGTTACTAGCTTATCTAGCACACACTGCCTGTGCCTCAGTTTCCCCATCTATAAAATGAGGTTACAAGATAACTTGAAGCACCTAATACAGTAAAGACTCAAATATTAGTGCCTTCCATGACTAGCCCTTTAAAATTTTTTTTTCATAGAGCATTTCTTTCTTTTTTTTTTTTTTTTTGAGTTGGAGTCTCACTCTGTCGCCCAGACTGGAGTGCAGGGGCCGCTCCCGGCCACCGCAGCCTCGACCTCTGCTGGGCTCTAGCAAGCCTTCTGCCTCAGCCTTCCAAGTAGCTGGAACTACAGGCGCGCACTACCATGCCCGGCTCGTCTTTTTTTTTTTTTTTTTAATTGTAGAGATGAGGTCTTGCCAAGTTGCCCAGGCGGGTCTCGAACCCACGGGCTCAGGCAATCCACTCACCTTAGCCTCCCAAAGCGTGGGATTACAGGCTGAGCCACCGAGCCCGGCTTAGAGCATTTCTTTATCAGAATGTTTGACTCTCTAAATTTGTCTTTAAGGTTTTTGTAAAATATTCCATTAACTATTGTACTACTTACATAGTATGTGAAAAGGTAAAATATCTTAACTGAAATACTCATAGAAGCAGGTGTTTGTTTCTGTAGCCCTCTCACCTATCACAACCTAGACTGTAACACCATAAAATCATTTAAATATGAACATGCTTTTTACCCACCCTTTCATGTGACAGATAACAGAAAGAAACGCTGAGAAAAAGGGAAGCTAAGCTTGGACTCTACTGACTGTTATAATGTACAAAAGGAGATAAAAGAGCAGAGCTGATTGTCAGCATCCCTGAATCAGGTTTTTATGCTAGGGCCTGTCCACTGTTTAAATTTGAATTACTCAGAACATTAAACATTGATGACTGAAATGCCAGTTTTAATGCGGTTATAAGAACCTTCAGTATATTACTTTTTATTTTTTTTTTTGAGTTGGGGTCTCACTGTGTCGCCCAGGCTGGAGTGCAGTGGCTGCTCCCGGCCACTGCAGCCTTGACCTGCTGGGCTCCGGCGATCCTTCCGCCTCAGCCATCCAAGTAGCTGGAATTGCAGGCATGCACTTCTACGCCCGGCTGATTTTTTGATTTATTGTAGAGATGAGGTCTCACTGCCCAGGCGGGTCTCGAACCCGCAGGCTCAGGCAATCCACTCACCTCAGCCTCCCAAAGGTACGGAATTACAGGCTGAGCCACCGAGCCCAGCTATTACTTTTTTTTTTCTTTTTTACTGGGGATAAGTGCTAAGATAAGGTTCAACCAATCTATCCAAAATCCAAAACAGAATATAAAGCATTTTGAAGGTAAAGGTAGGTTTATTTTTGCGTTGGAGTCTCACTGTTGCCCAGGCTGGAGTGCAGTGGCACACTCACGGCCACTGCAGCCTCAATCTGCTGGGCTCAGGTGATCCTTCCACCTCAGCCTTCCAAGTAGCTGGAACTACAGACATGTGCCACCATGCCCGCTAATTTTTTGATTTATTGTAGAGATGAGGTCTTGCTGAGTTGCCTGAGCTGGTCTCGAACCTGTGGCCTTTCACCTTGACCTCCCAAAATGCTGGGATTATAGGCATGAGCCACCATGCCCAGCCTATTTATTTTTTTAGTGTCATTAGTAAATGATGAATAAAGATTTAGTCAAATATTACTTAAACTGCTACCTTAGATACCAAGTTGATAGCAAGTATTTATTAAGCCAGGCTATTGTTCTTTGTAACTTGTTTGCATACTGGTAAATTTCTTCTATTCCACCATATTTTTCATTTCCAAATGTGACAAATCCAACTTTATCCCATGAGCTTTATGTAGCAGTTGCACTTCAACAGAATATACAATATTAGGAATATTCTCTTATTCTTGTAGCATGTTGATTTAACTGTTTTTGGCAACAAGTTTTAAGATCCAAATGTGTGAAAATGCAGAGGCAATCCAAACGCTGTTTGAGTTTTTACCTTTTGCAAAAGATCTTAATGTTGTAACATTTTTTAAAATTTAGTTTTATGTGCCATCATGACTCCACTATTACAGTTTGGTTATCTTAAAACAGTTAGACAGTGAGTGCTTGGTAGTTTATCCCTATGAAAATACACTTGTTTGCCCTGTGATGTAAAAGCAAACTTTTTATGATGGTGCTAATAACTACCTGGTTTCTATGATGTGTGGCATGTTACAATTTACAAAAAGTTCTTTCATATTATATCATTTGAGGAGTGTATCACATTGAAAAAGTATTGTCAACAAGGGTACCTGCCTAATAAACATTTGTATACCTAACCCTGAATTGTACCCCACATCTTTAAAAAAAAGTATTGTTTAACATATCTATTTTTTTCCATTGAGCAAATTGAAGACAAAGATTTAGGGACTTATCCTAGGATATTACCTTAGGATATAGTGAAATCCAGTAACAATTTTTTTATACATATAATCTTGAATGTTATGCTATGGCATGTACTTTTTGCAGAAAATATCATTTGTTTTTATTTTGTTCTTGCCTTTAGTGGGATGAAGCACTCTTGACCATGAGTAAAGGAGAAAAGGCTCGACTGGAGATTGAACCAGAATGGGCTTATGGAAAGAAAGGACAGCCTGATGCCAAGTATCCTTTTTTCCCTTCATAACTAAAGGAAAAAAACCACTTAATAATGATCACCTGAAGGTGTGAAAGATACTGTCTAGGCTAACCTCCAGATTAGAAATTCTGTCCAGACTAGTATCCTTGATATTTAGATGCTTAAGTCTCAACACCTCCAATATAAACAGCAGTTAATATTTTCTCTTGGTGGTACAAAATACTCAAGCTTGAGCTGGAATCCTGTTTTTTAATTCAGGTTCTTAACTTTCGGGACATTAACTGAAGTTTAAGGCAGTTATTAATGTTGGAAAAGCAGTTATTAATGTTGGAAGGGTTTATTTCAAGTAACAATGCCCACAGGTCTGTAATCCAACACTTTGGGAGGCCAAGACAGGAGATACCTTGAGCCCAGGAGTTCGAGACCAGCATGGGCAACATAGCATGACTTCGTTTCTACAAAAAATTCAAAAGAATTAGTTGGGCGTGGTAGCATGTGCCTCAAATACTTGGGAAATTGAGAAGATCCCTTGAGCCTAGGCATTTGAAACTGCCGTGAGCTGTGACTGTACCACCATTTTCCAGTCTAAGTGATAGAGTGAGACTTTGACTCAAAAAAAAAAGCATCAGTGTCCAGTACAAACAACTGTAGCAAACTGTAGGATGCAGATATGGCTCGTGGTAATTTTATGCTTAAAAATCGAACACATGTTGGGGATTAACATTGTGAAATGAAGGAGACCATGGGACCAACATAGTATTAGTAAGCATTTATTACTACTAATAACAATACTTCTCTGATAAGTCCAGTTTGTGAATGTTTTTTAAAAACAGTAACTACAGACCAGTCTAAATCCAATAGGTAAGTGGGAAGATAATTTATAGCTGTTGTTGGTTCCATTCCTACTGAACCAGTTAGATTAAGTTTTAAAAAACAGTGTTTTCGGAAATATCTCTGTAGCTGAATCAGTTCAACTTATTTGGGATTTTGGACTCTAATAGCTCTTCTCATATGTAAATCTGATGGCCCGCCACAGCTCACTCCTGCATGAAGTATCAAGAGCAATCTGATACATGTAAATTACATGCTTCCCTTAACGTCACATCTTAAAATTCAGTAAATGTAATGTACTACCTCATACAAACCTTGATTTAATACGGCATATATTCCCAGATAGACGGAAATGACTTTTTTTTTGAGTACTTAATAGCAGTTTTCAGTAAGTTGTGGCCAATTTGGGAATGAAGCATCCGGGTTAAGTAGGATCCTAGTCCAAGTTCAACTTACTTTGTCAGCCTGTACGACTCTCTAGGCTAGTTTTATGGATAAGCCTCTGAATCAACTACAAAGCTGTTCCTTTTGGGGTTAAGTACTAATATCCATTATATATATAATTCTAACTTTAGAACTAAGGTTATTTGGGGTTGGGGAGAGACATGTTTCATTAAATTTACCTTGACTTTTTCAACAGAATTCCACCAAATGCAAAACTCATTTTTGAAGTGGAATTAGTAGATATTGATTGAAACAATAGTGCTTAGCTCTAAAGACATCAGCAACAATGATAAAACTTGGCCTTGAAGAAACTTACATAACTAATTAAGCCTTGTTACTATTGTTAAGGGAAGCGTCAACTGGAAAATTCAAGGAGTTAAGTTAAAACTTGTTTACTTGATCCCAACATTTGAGAAGTGTAATCACTTACAAAGCCCTGAAGTCTAAAATATTTTACTACAGCTGTGTAAAATATTGGTCAAAGAGAACTTTTTCCTTTTACCTCATGTTGTAAAATAAAAGGTTCGATAAAAGTGTATCCCCTGTCTTGATTTGACTGATTTGTTTGATGTTACTATATTATCGTTCTGATTAGGTGTTTAGAACTAAGGACCTCATCAAACCAGGGAGTAACTCACAGTAAAATTGTCTGGACAGATTTGCCAGGGCATTCATCGTAAATGTTTAAATATTCCTGTATGGTGAGAAGGCAAAAGCAAAGAGCTCTGGAGGAATCAAAAAGCTAAAAGTTCTAAGAAATCTTGGCAGCTAAATTTAGAAAAAGTGCACTTCAAAACCAATGAACCATTAGTAAAGGCAAGAATAAAGTTATTTAGTTGATCCCCCCAAAATAAATTCATAAACAATTACTGGATGAGTCTTCAGTTTTATTACAAAAATGAAGATGATCAGTTTGATCAAAATGAAAGCTTGCTCACAAGTTTTACATGAATATTCTAAATACAAAGTCTCCTGAAACAACATACTTTTGATATGATTTTCATTTTTTAAAAGGGATGCAAACATTCCATTTTCTCATTTATAATCTCTATTCCAAGGCATTGTATTTTAATAGTGTATCTTTTCTGCAGTTAGATCACAATTCACAAGTATAACTGAAACACGAAGACAAAAAACCTTGTCAGCAAAAGTTAAAAATCCGTTTTTTTTTTAAACAGAGGAGGTAAATCCTTAATAACCAGCCCTTATGAGTTTTCAGAATCTTGTACTATACTGACATGATTTGCAGTCAGTTTTTTTTCCTACCCTTAAGGCTACAAAACTCTTTTGCAAATGCATTGCAAAAGAATTCTAGACCACTTAATGCAAAAATAAAAAAAATAGGTCTCCAATAAAAAGTAAATTTTATAAATGGTAGGAAATAGTGTTTGTGGTAAGCTACTAATTAACATTTTTCCCTATTACTAAACAAATCATGTTACACAGAAACAGGGAAGACAAGTTATCAAATACAACAAGCTTATGCTATGTTTACATCCCTCATTTAAAAAAAAATAACTTCATACTTTTGACACGCTCCATCTGAAATTTACATTTTCTCATCAGGTTGGAGGGGGAGGATAATACTGTCCATAATTCCAAGGATTCTGATAATTGTACTGAAAGGAAAAAGTAAACATGTTAGCATACTAGAATTATGGCTGAGTTCCATATATAAGATTAAAACAAGTATAATTTTAAAAATAAGCATGTGTTCATTGCTGAAATTCCAAGACTTAAAGTATTATACAATCTGGATCAAGCAAAAACATGTTTCTTTCTAAAAAAATGTCTATCCTAATTCATGCTTCTAACAACATCTATGAACAAAGAATTATAATTATATGGACTCACTTGATACCAGGCACTATAATTATATACAGCTTGATTTGCTTGCAAATCACCATCAATCATCTGTGTAGATGATGAAGTTGTATCTTCTGTGTGTGCTTTCTTTTCTTCTGGTTCTTCTGATCTATATAAAAGGTCAAAATGAAAAAACTTTCAAAATTCTTCCAGATAAGATGAATGTTACCTGTGTTTACTGAAGTTTTCAACCATTTTATATGATTTTTTCAAATTGTGAAAAAAGTATCTAAATCACAATGAAGTTACACTTAAAAATACTTGTCTTTAAAGTCATTTCCACAATGGAATGTTTTTTTTTTTGAGTTGGAGTCTCTCACTCTGTCGCCCAGGCTGGAGTGCAGTGGCATGTTCACGGTCACCGCAGCCTTGACCTGCTGGGCTCAAGTGACCCTTCTGCTTCAGACTTCCAAGTGGCTGGAACTACAGGCATGCCTCTCCACACCCGGCTAATTCATTTATTTACTGTAGAGATGAGGTCTCGCCAAGTTGCCCAGTCGGGTCTCAAACCCGTGGGCTCAGACAATCCTCTCACCTCAGCCTCCCAAAGTGCTGGGATTATAGGCGTCAGCCACGCACCCAGCCTGAAATGTCTCCTTTTAAACAGCCCTTCCCTATTCAGCAAGTTGCATACCCATTTTCTGCTTTCCTTTTTAAAGAATCCTGTTCTTTTAGAAGCGTTTGATGCTCATCATAAGCATTCAGAAGCCTGAGAGGGAAGAAGAAAAAAAATCCTCTGGAATGAACAAGGCCTAAACTAATTTGTTAAGATTTTAAGTTGTTTCTACTTAGAGAAACTAAGTAAGTTTCTAAGTGGCTCATTTTTTATATCTTCCCCTTTCTAAATTTCTTTCTTTTTAACACTACAGCGCCCAGTATTCCCAGGCAGTCTCCAATCCAAGTACTAACCAGGCCTGACCCTGCTTAGTTTTCAAGATCAGACAAGATTGAGTGTATTTATGGTGATATGGCCATTCTTTCTAAATTTCAACTATGAATAATCTCGGTCCTGACACTCAGACCCTTCATTAACTGTACTTGCAAGGGACTAAATGACATATTTCTGTTGAACCTCAGTTCTATTTTTTGCCAAATTAAAATACATCATTTAATTTCATTGACCAAAATTCCAATAGCTCACTAGTGTCAACTGCTCATGTGCTCTCAACTCAGTCTAGCTTTCAAGGTATAGCACAATCAAGATCACACTTCCAAGACCCTCCAATCAAGCAGATGTGACACGACACTTACATGAACTTTAACTTGCTTCCACCATTGTTTCCTCTCCTTAGCTTATCACAATCTAGCAGTAAGTAAATGAAGCCCAATCTCCTCTATGAAGCATGACAAATCCATCCTGATCCATAGAGATCACAGACTTTTTTGAGTTGGAGTCTCCCTCTGTTGCCCAGGCTGGAGTGCAGTGGCACACTCACGGCTACTGAAGTCTTGACCTGCTGGGCTCAGGTAATCCTTCTGCCTCAGCCTTTCAAGTAGCTAGAACTATACAGGCACATGCCACCACACCAAGTTAATTTTTTGATTTATTGTAGAGATGAGGTCTTGCCAAGTTGCCCAGACTGGTCTCAAACCCCTGGGTGAAGGCAATCCTCTTGCCTCCGCCTCCTAAAGTGCTGGGATTATAGGTGTGAGTGACTGCACCCGGCTGATAGCCTTGTAAAAGTCATATGCTACCTCATACACTTTTGAATTTTCACTAATAATCATGCCATTCCACTAAACTAGAAGGTAGAATTATATATCTCATTCCTTTCCTTTAAAAAAAAATTTTTTTTTTAGAGACAGAGTCTCATTATGTTGCCCAGGCTGGTCTTGAATTCCTGGTCTCAAGTCTCCCCTCGGCCTCCCAAAATTTGGGGATTACAGGTGAGCCACCCCATTCAGCCTATCTAATTTCTTTTGTATGTATACTTTCTTCAGTGCAAATCAAACAGAAGGCACTAAATATACAGCACATGAGTAGTTGAGAGACTTTAAAGTAGGTTCAATCCTAGCTCCACAATAATAACTGCTAAGTGAACTTGAAAACATTGTCTAATCTCTCTTTAATCCTGTCTTCACCTACTAAGAAAACAGTACCTATACCTCTCATTATACTGCTATAAGTTTTACATTACGTAATATAAAATATTTAGCATGATGTCAAGCACTCAATAAATATCAGTCTGTTATATTAGTTTAACTGAAATTTTATATAACCATCAAAAATACAAATACGCAGACACGCAAGTAATTCTCAGTTTAACCTACAGAGGTTTCCATGGAGATCGTTCTAAATGAGACTAATCAGATAAGGCACATGCCTAACAAGCACTGGGCTATTTCCTAACTAGAATCAGACAAGACTGGAACTTTAGCAATGCTCTAGCCAATATTTTTACTATCTATTTAGCAAATTTGTATCTTTAACTTGTCATCTTCCTAGGTACCCTAGAACAAACTGTTCTACCACTCTTAACTTTCATCCTTTTACAATGCAGAAAGATGAGGTCATCAGGCATTATCTGTGAGACCACAACCATTCACTTCTGCGATCTCAAAAAATGGCATTCCTATTACAGATTAACCGCATCCATTTTTATTGATTTATTTTTTATTTTATTTTATTTTATATTTTTTTTTTAGTTGGAG